TGTTTTTCAATTTGGTTGGCCTTTCAATCAGAAATTGATTATTTAAATGAGTTATTAATTGATCCCCAAATGCTTTCGTATGAATTTGTTTCAAGTCTTGTGCGCCAAATATTTTAATTGAGTTGAATCCGATGTCCAGAAACACATTTTCTGGGATTACATCAATGCTTGAGTTATAAATCTCTAAAATTTGTATTACTTTTTTATTTTCTTCCAAATCTTTGCTTAATTTTTCAAACTCTAGTAAAATATTAAATTCTTGATTCTGTGCATCACATACAACGCTTACGATATCATTGACTTTGCATTTGTATTCATAGGTCTGTCCCTCGATTACTCCAATAACAGTCCACAAATACAACACAATTAGTTGTTTCCCTTTAGTTATAAAAAAAATTTCACATTTAATTAATTTATATTTAATTTGTTTAATTATCATTAAGATTCTTATTATCTTATTATGATAGTTAGATTGAAAATAAATTTTGAATTTGTATTTTTACTCACTTGTTATTTCCATTTCAAAATTAACTTATAATTGTTTAACATTCATCGATACATCATTAAAATAATAGTAAATTTACTTTTAATTTAGAAACTAGTTATAAGTACTAATGTCACTAAAATAAATGAGAGTCATTTTTATCAGTTTTATTATGCTTTCACATTTATTAAATTAATAGATATATATCAAATAGTTTTATAATCACTAATAATAATTAATAAAACTAAACAGGATTCATATTTATAAAGTATTATAAATAAAAGTAATTAGTTAACTTTTACAATTTCATGGAATTCAGTAAGTTATTTCTATGTAATCTTATATTTGGTAATTAAAATTATTAATTGTATTACACAATGTCGGCACATAATTTCAACAGTAATTAAATATAAATCTATAAATAATAATAAATTAAATCAAAATCCAATTATTCAAAATTGTTATTTGTAAGTAATTAAATAAACAATATTTTAATAGCAATATAATAAAAGTATAAAAATAATATTCACCACATAAACATAAACATGACATAAATTAATGTCTTAGCTAGACATATAATAACATTTTTATAAAGTTATAAAAATATATACTGTTATTAGAAATAATTTTTGAAAATCAATACAATTAAAGGTATAAATAAAGCCAATTGTGAGTGAATGGCAGTGAGAGGAAAGCCAGCATTAGATCCGGAATCTCTGAGTAGAGGCGACTTTTGACGGCAGGTCTCGGCGGACACACACTGACTGCCGTCCCTCACGAGGCCGTCCCGACAGAAGCAGCCGCTCACGCATTGCATCGTACATGTCATCAGCCCTTTGTTGCCCTTCACTACTGTCTCACAGGTGTCCGGACAGGCAGTCCCGCACGAGTTGTACACTTCATTTGGTCCGCAGTCTTGTGCTGTCAATCAAATCAATTAAAAAACATTTATTACTTGATTTTACAATTTAAAAATTAATTCATAAGTACTAACCATATGTAATCGCACAATAAGTTAGAATTAATGTGAATACAATTTTTGTGTACATTATAAGTAGAATTTAATGTATTTTAGTATAATTCACAATTGTATTTAAAAGTGTTTCAAACTTTGATATCAAATGAATTTGTTGCGAGTTTAAGCGATTTCAACTTTATATTAAATAGGAATTTATCAAAAAATATATATTTAATGATAAGTGGTTACATAAATCTTAATTAATCTCAAAACTATATGACAACTTCTCTACGAATTGAATGCAAGCTTTTCCACAAATTGTCCAAAATATAAGTACATTATATGTAATTGGTATCAAACAAAGCTGTCTTTGTCTCTAAGCGCCCGGAAAAATGGTTTCCGATGTTTACATCATTTGGACATTTTTGAGCGAAAATTCGCGGATTCATTGGTAACATAATTGGCATCAAAACGCCTGTTAAGCAAACACTTCTCTCATGTTTATTGATTCAACGCTTTATCACATCATATATTTATTCAGTTTTTATAACTTTAACTAACTTTTACAACATTTGAATCACAAGTGCATTTTAAACCCAAACCTGCTTTTATGGCATTTAGATAAGGAATCCATACAATTAATTCAGACAGACGTGAGAATAATGTCATACAGTACTCAATACTAAACTAATATAATCTAGATTCTTGTACCATAGTTGACATAAAGTCTGCAAAATGTATATTTAAATTATTTTTGTTTATTTAAATAATCTGATAGACAATCTTTTATTTTCCTCAATTCTCGTCTCTTAATAGACAATAATTTAGTAATTTATACATTATATAAAAATAATTTAATGTAATAGTGTAGTTTTTCGCATAGATTTGTTAAAATATAAAATATATTATATTGAATATACTGTAAGTTGTTTTAATGTGATAAAAGTGTTTTATATTTTTAAACACAAAACTATTTTTAATATAGATTTTGTTTGTGTTAAAAACATGCAATTTATTCATTAGGAATTTCCAAAATGAAAACAATATTAATAGTCTGTATTTTTATGAATAAAACATAAACACAAGTAAGATCGTTTGACTTGTTAATATTCAATGCCATAATGAGTAAAATAAAATAATTTCAAAATCATTATTTGTTATAATAGTTATTTTCTTACACATAGAATGTAATGAGAATATAATTAATTTGTTTAGACTTTTAATTTAATGAGTATTTTATTAGTAATCAATATATGAATTTCTTAATAAATATTCCAACATTATATGTAATCATTGTTTTAATAAACTAAATATTGTGCATTTATAAACATATTCGTAATCAGAATTACCATTTTTATTGAAACTATTAGAGTTTAGTAGATGAATGAAAAACAACATCAAAATTTCTCCTGAAATTCAGGGAATCTTTAACACGGAATTTGTTTTAAGAATGGATAAGACATTGGATTCAAATCTAGTCATACCTTTCTGTGGCAATGATTTCTATAGAATCGGTTTATCTCTGTTTCCGTTTGGATCTTATAAAAGAAAATCTTTTTACAATCCATACATTGTATTCATCATTNAGAAAATCTTTTTACAATCCATACATTGTATTCATCATTAATTTTGTTGCTTCACTCAAAATGTTGGTCGCATTACTAGTGCTTAATGACTGCGACAAAGACATTGCCCTTATATTAGGCGATTGGCAATTCTTTATGCCCAAACAAATCAGATATCATTTAGTAATTGGTAACCTATTGTTTGCCTCAACTGCTATTGTCACACAAATCATACACTTCTGGTATTATAAGCAGGGAATCAGTCCCTCATATCTGAGACCTTTCCAAATGATGAGCGGTTGTGTGGCTCCCAATGCCATCGGATTGACACATCCCAGGGATGTCCGCATTTTGGTCCGACACACATATTTATGTTTGAAATGCACAGAATTCATAAGAATCACTGCTATCCCCAGCGGTATAATAGTGTCGGGCGTACCCCTGGCTATGGACGTCACACTCAAACAGTTTATATTTGTGGTCATTCCGTGGGTTATTATGTATACGGGTTTTGTATTTTTTTGCGCCGGTTTTCTCGTCTATCAGATCATTTATTTTCATATCATTTGTTTGTATTTAAAACTTAAACTCAAGAGAATTAACACTCAACTGCAAGAAATATCAAAAACAAAAAACATTAAAAACTTACACTTTTTGAGTGAATTGAATGACATTCATAAAGAAATTCTTGATTTTAATAATAATATTTGGAGCGAATACTTGTTATGGACATTTATATTGATAATGCCTTGCTTAAATCTAATGTTATTTTTCATTATATTTACTCAAAATATCGAGATACTCTATAAGCTATTATTTGTATACATAGTGATATTGTTTGTAATGTTTTTATTATTCATTTTCCTGATGGCATCTTCAGTCTCATCAGAGGCTAGCAAATCAGATGAGTATTTGAATCACATTTATGTCAACTCAAAGATGTCAGCTATGAATAAATTTAAGGTATAATTAGGTAGCTTTGTATTTATTTCTGATTAATATTTAATTTATTTAAATAGTTATTGAAAATCATGGAAAGAACTAAAGAAAGGATCATTGGTTTCTATTTGTGGAAAATGTTTTTAATAAATAATAATAAAATACAAGAGGTAAGACATGAATGAAATATCAATTAAAATAGTTATAGATATTAACTGAATGCTATTATTTATACAGATAATAGTGCTATCGATTGTGCTGTTTCTCAAAATCGTCGAAATCTCTCTTTGAATTGAAGAGTCGGAAACTTTGATCATTTGGTCCACTCTTATCTCATATAATCAATATTTAATGCTATTTATGATTTACAATACATTAATAGCTTAATTCTCGATACTTGTAATTATTATTGAAAATTATTACTTTTGTTAATAAAAAAAGTATCATATAGAATTTAATTTAACTTGTTTGTACCGTATTTAATGTCATAATAAGTAAAATAAAATAATTTCAAAATCATTATTTTTTATAATAGTCATTTTCTTACATATAGAATGTAATGAGTATATAATTAATTTGTTTAGATTTTTAAAATTTAATGAGTATTTTATTAGTAATCAATACTGTATATGAATTTCTTAATAAGTATTCCAACATTATATGCAATCACTAATACAATTAACTAAAACTCATTATATCTATGTTTGTAAATGTGTTCTTAATTATTATATTACTTTATTTTCAAACTGAAAGAAATTAAGCTTAAAATGAAAAATAAAATCAAAATTTCTACTGAAATTCACGGAATCTTTAATAAAGAATCTGTTTTAAGAATGGATAAGACATTGGATTCAAATCTAGTCATACCTTTCTGTGGCAATGATTTCTATAGAATCGGTTTATCTCTGTTTCCGTTTGGATCTTATAAAAGAAAATCTCTTTACAATCCACTCGTTGTATTCACCGTTATATTTGGTGTTTCCATCAAAACATTATTACTATTGCTTACTGAAAATGACAAAGAGTTGGCCATAATATTGGGCGATTGGCTCTTCTTTATGCCCAAACAAATCCGATACCATTTAGGAACCGCTAATCTATTGTATGCCTTAACAGCTATTGTCACACAAATCGTGCACTTCTGGTATTATAAGCAAGGAATCAGTCCCTTATATCTGAGGCCTTTCCAAATGATGAGCGGTTGTGTGGCTCCCAATGCCATCGGATTGACACATCCCAGGGATGTCCGCATTTTGCTCCGACAGACCATTCTGTGTTTGAAAGGTACAGAATTGTTGAGAAGCACTGGTATTCCCTGCGGTATAATCATATCTGGTTTACCCCTGGCTATGAACGTCACACTCAAACAGTCTATATTTGTGGTCATTCCGTGGGTTATTATGTTCACTGGTTTTGTTCATTTTAGCGCTGGTTTTCTTCTCTACCAAATTGTCTACTTTTATATCATTTGTTTGTATTTAAAGCTTAAACTCAAGAGAATTAACACTCAATTACGAGAGATATCGCAATCAAAAGGCATTAAAAATGTAAACTTTTTGAACGGATTGAATGCAATTCATAAGGAAGTTATTGAATTCAACCAGACTTTTTGGCGTGAATATTTATTATGGATATTTATCTTGATAATGCCTTGCTTAAATCTAA